TTTAGGGGTTTAGGGTTAGGGTTTTAGGGTTTAGGGTTTAGGGGTTTAAGGGGTTTAAGGGGTTTGGGGTTGAAGGTTTGCATGGGGTTTAGGGCCCAAGTTAAAACGTTTGTGTTTGGGTTGCTGAATGGAGCGTAACGTAGGGGCCTTATTAATTACCTATAGCAGTCTGGGGGTTCCTTATTCTACATATAGTAGAATGGGACCCAAAACCCTATTCTAATTATTAAGGCCCCTATATTAGGGCTTAGTTGCTGAGTTCATAAGCCCAGAAAAGTCTGCACTTTCAGATAAGGGGCATCTCATCCTTGAAAGGTGACCCATGACGGGTTTAGGGTTTATCGGGCTTCGGGTTTAGGGTTTAGTGATTCGGGTCTAGGGTTTCGGGTTTAAGGTTTAGGGTGAAACACGGTGTCTCAATGTTTCAGAAAACTCTATCAACAGCTTCCCTAACAGTCCATGGCACTCGTAAGGTATACAATATAGTATGCATTTTGGTCTTCAAGTAATAACGTACTTTGGGACCAAGATGACAAATTAATGTACTGTTTAACTCATCAGGTGCTGAACACTTAGGGTTGGCAAACCTTGGCCGCTAAACCCGAAAAGCAACAAAGCAAACAAACCGATGAAGGAGCCTCTTAAAGGAACCCCTACGGCCCTACAGGAACCCCTTAAAGGAACCCTTGAGGTAACCCTCAAAGTGCGCAAACCCAAACCCTAAACCCGAAACCCTACACCCACAACAAACCTCAAACCCCAAAAAACTTATAGGTTTAGGGTTTAGGGTTTATCAGGTTTGGGTAAGCCCCAATACCCTAAACCCCCTAAATCCTAAACCCTTACTTAAAAACAGCACAGGATCGGCGTGCAGTCCAGTCCCTACCTGCACAAAGGGATGCTTCCGCGCAGGCAAAATCCTGGAGGTCGCCCCCGTCTGAGCCGGCGGAACCTTGGCTTCTTAAGGATCTGGGGCTAAGGCCCCGTAAATGCCTAAACCCTAATTACACTCTAGACCTGAACTTGGGTTCAGGAAGTTAAGGTTTAGGGCTTGGGCGCAAGATCGTATTTCAAGTCAGATAGTTTAGGAAGTCTCAGACCCCCTAGCGACCCTCGATTTACCCCAAAAACCCACCATTAAGGACCGTAAGGACTCATCCAGTACTTGGGTTTGGACTTTGTCCTAGTCATTCTGAGGCTTTATCAGGGTGGGGAAGATCGTCGACGTGTGGTTAAGATAGGGGCCTTAATAATAATTAGAACAGGGTTTCGGGCCCATTATACCATAATCATAATAAGGAACCCCCCAGACTAATACAGGTAATTCTTTAGGCCCCTATATCACCAGCCCACTTACCCCCGGAACCCTGCCGAAGATCAAAACCCTCGTAGTAGGGGCCCAGTAGCCTTTGTGGCACTTGGCTGGATCCAATATCTCGGTTTGGAGGCGCGAGCCTAGCCGCATGTCGAGATTTCGCAAGTAGAGGCTGCCACCGCAGGTGCTGCGCTTCTGCGCGCCGCAATCGCTCAACAGCCGGCAGTCGGTGTTGCAGTGGTACCTCCCCCGGGAAACGACATCCTGGAACCAAACCGTAACCAGTCACTCGAAAACATCAGTCTAGAATCCACACTATTACTACGTATAGTAGTTGGATTTGACACATGAGATGCTGCTATCCAGGCCCAAGATACTGGACGGCTTGGCAATTTCGATATCCACGGCAAGCTGCCAGGCATTCCTGCAAGGCAATGGGGCTCAGAAAAATGAATGACGGGTTTGAACATTTCGATGTGGGGAGGACTGAAGAGTATTCGGACAACTGTGCGAGCGTCTTCCGGCAGTCTCTTCTTGTTGGGAGCTTCGGGCAGATCCTTAGCTCAGCTACCAACCTCGAACCCGAAACCCCCAAACCTTTGGGGTTTAGGGTTTGGGCTCCTTGTTCTACTTGTACAATAAGCGCGGTTTAGGGTTTAGGGTTTAGGGCGCACAAACCCGATACTGATATAAGGCGCCTACATTACTTACTCTCTCAATCCGATCCCTGAGCCACAAAACATAGCGACAACCGGCGTTGACAGTGTCGCGTAAGGGCATGAAGAACTTGTTCAACATACCAGTTACTCCAATTCCTCCGCCTGAAGTGACAGAAGTCCTTCAGCACGAAAACCGACACTCTGCATAATAAGAAAAGTCCTTCCAGAAGCCAGAAACAGCAACACAACACTGCATTTAGGGTTTATGGGGCTTAGGGCTTTGGGCTTGCAAACCGTCTATGCCCTAACCTCAAAAGTCCTGCACCCTCAACCTCCAAAGGTTCTGAACCAAAGCCCCTAGGATTCAAGCCTACGCCAAAACAGCACTAGATCCTTGAACCCCAAGACCCAGAAGTGACCCCGACACTAGCTAAACCTCTGAAATCCCGAAAGAGACTGAACTCGAAACCGACTCAACAATGTAGGGAGGCCTTAATACTTAGAACAGGGTTTCGGGGTCTATTATAGGAACCCCCACAAACCCTATTCTAATTATTAAGGCCCCTACACTAGGCTTTAGAGGCCCTATTGGGATGACATAGGATTTTACTTCTAAGAAACCTACAACAGACTCAGAAACCATAACTTACCCTAAACCCTAAACCCTAAACCCTTTCAAAGGCCCTGTGCCCGGTGAAGCTGCCTCTAAGGGTAGCGGCCCGAGGATTGTCGCCAGGTTCTCGTTGCTACACGACCTGGGTCTGATCTCTACAGTTTTACCGTGGTGTACACCATACGGTTTAGGGTTTAGGGTTTAGGGTTTAGGGTTTAGGGTTTAGGGTTTCGGCTGATGGACAAAATCCTGCATGACTCTATATACCTAAACTATGGGATTTATGGTACTATACTATATTTGGTTCATGCAGAATTTTGTCCATCAACAGTAGCTTAAGGTTTTGAGCTCTTCCGGGGCTTCCACAAAGGATGCCCCAAACCCTATAGACCATACCTTTTTCAGGGTCATGACCTAAGAGTTTTGAGGCCAGAGCCCACTTTTTTGTTTTGCATAGGCTGGAGGTCGGCATTTGAGGCTTAAGCGCTTATAAACCCTAAAGCCTAGACCCCTAAACCCTAAACCACTGACCCCTAGACCCTAAACCCCTAAACCCTGCGTTTTGGGTTGTTGGGTGTAAGGGTGCGGGGTATTGGGGTTTTCGCATTCATGGCAAGGCTTATATGTAGGGGCCTTCTTCTTCTGCGCTGGGCAAAA